CACTAGGAGGGTTGTAAGACACTGGAACAGGTTACCCAGAAAGGTTGTGGATTCTCCATCCTTAGAGGTTTTTAAGATCTGGCTAGACAAGGCCTTGGCTGGAATGATCTAGCTAGGGATGGTTCTGCTTTGAGCAGGGGGTTGGACTAGATGACCTCCTGAGGTCCCTTCCAACCCTAATTTTCTATGATTCTATAATGCAAACACTGTTACTGAGAACATTGTGAATCAACAAGACATTGAAAAAATTGTTTGCCAAGAGAATACATCAAACACCTGATTTTTTTCCCTTAATGTCTACATGTATGTAGCGTTTACTGTATGCATGCTGTGGGCCCTGCAATTACGAAGTATACTGAGCAAAGGCAGACTTCTGAATTGTATTTACATTGCAGTATTCTTATACTGCTATGCATTGTAGTCATTTCCTTTCATTTAATATTTTAGTCATTATTTCCGTGATTTTTTTTCTCATCCCAGTTTAAATGGTAAGCTTTATTACCACTGCAGTGTAAGTTCAAATTTCTTGAAAAGACAAAAAAAAAATTAAAACCTTTAACCAAATGGTTTATTAACCTATTCTATTTGTCAGAATACATTTATCAAATACAAATACAAAGAGCAAAGAGTTACCAGTACAGGGCAACCAGTGAGGAAACATATTTACTCTGGGTCAAAGCTAAAAACGTATCTATTAGACCTACTTAGGGTACAGTGGCAATGAACAAATAGAGCAAGTGTGAATCAGGAGACTAAAGTGAGAAAAGCAGCCAAGCATAGTTCAAATAGATCATACTTGACTTTCAAACTTTGCCTAAGAACAAAGAAATGAGCCTAGCAACAGGCCCAGCCAATCAGAGATCAGATAAACAGGTACAAGGCTCGACTTCAAGAGATCGGTGGAGTCTAACCTCCTCAAGCATATTTCCGACTTTTGCACTCTCAAACTTGAAACTAGCAAGTCTTACAAAACGAAGCCAGGCTGAATTGACACTATGCTATCCAATAAATTTTCCTGTAACTTGTAAATATCTGTATCTATTTAACAACATGCAATGATGTCAGGAGACAGACTTATCAAACTCCTCGAAAATATTACATTTTCATAAAGAGCAAACTTAAGACTCATTGTGAAATGAGAAAGAATATGGTCGAGGCACAACAGAGAACTCACACCTTAAGTTAAATGGGGGGCGGTTACGGTAATTTTACATCACCTTTGCACCCTCCCAATCCTCATCTACCTGTGTAGCCTGTTTAAGTCATGGAAACCTTCCCTGGACTGCCTGTTAAGGACAAAACTGCTGGGAGTACCCACCAATGTGCATGCTGGGGTCTGATTCCCTAAATACATGCAAGGTTTTTACTAAGTTTGTGTCCTGCCCTCCCTACCCTGAATAACACAAACAGTGCTGTAAGCCACAAAGAGTTAAGACTTGTAAAGAAGCTGTCAAATCACATGAGGATTTCTGCAATTTGTATGGAACATGGATAGCATTGCAGAAACTTTTGAGGGCTTTGCAAGGCAAGTGCCTGCTGTTTGGCCACATTTAATAGTACAGGTATTATATATACAAGAAACTAAGTGGGTAAGTGGTTGCTGAGACCAAATCATAAAAATATTCTCAAGGCAATCTCTTGGCATTTCAGTGGAAAGTCATGAAAGTGGCTTCAGGTTTTTTGGTTTCATTTTGTGGGGTTTTTTAGTTAACCACAAAAATGGAAATAAGCCTTTAAACTGCTGTTCCTTTCAGATCATTATTTTTAAATAGACTGGTTTTACTTAGTAGGTGGCCCTTCTTCCTTATGATACCATCCTTTTAGGCCACTAATATTATTGCTTATTGAACCTCACCTTAAAAATCCTGTGTTCCAAAAGCAGCACCCTGCATATATCCACTCAGATGCACATATGCAAAAGCCACACAAAAAATACAAGCAGTACGTGTTGAAAATGCTCTGGTTTTCACAACAGAATCAGTATTTTCACAATGATGTTATCCAGTATTTTAGTGTGATTCAGAGCATCTTTCAAACAACAAACAGAGTAAGGAATTAGTATTAAAACAAGCAATGAGGAATTAGTATTAAAACAAGCCCAGCAACGATACTATCAAATTGGGCTTGTACCATCAGATTTAGTTATAATAAGAAACAAATACATTCTTCTGAGACACAGGACTATGGTATTTTACACTTGAGATGAGGAGGTTTTGTTTGTTGTTTCGGGGGGGGGGGGGGGGG